AAAGAGTTTCAAAGGCAAGAAAAGAAGCAACACTGACTGCTTCCAAATAAAGTAGTGATGAAAACAGTTCACAGAATCAAGCAATAAATCTATTCATGTCCTTACTGAGAGCAATTCAATGGCACAAGAAGCCATGGGATGAGGAGTGAAGGGGAGTTGATAAAATAGCACATAGACGACTCTTTCAACAAGTGTGGCTGTGAGCAGAAGGTGAGGAAAATTAGTAATTGAAGAGGGACATTAAATCAGAAGGCCTATTTATGTGTACACTAGCATGTATCTGAGCGCATCTAAGCATGTGTGTATGGCACATAGGGGCCTATACAGGGACACGTTTAACTGTCAACAGAAGAAAACAGAAGTTAAAAAAAAGTTTAAAGACTGAAAACTACAAGAAAGAATAACAATCACAAAACCAAGTCCCTGAGAAGGCAGGAGATGATGCACTAACACAGAGAACTAAACTGGGATTAGGAAAACAGCCTTTCCGCAGATCAAAAGGACAGGTGTTCCCAACAGTTAAAAAACATGTTCAGGGACTAGCAGGTGATAGGATTGTTGGGCACTGGATTCTTACGTGGACAATCGCGGTTTAAGTAGTGGACCCAGCGGCTTGAAAATGACACTGAGCATGTGTGCATGCATGCCCAAAATCCCAAGAGGAAAAATAAGAGAGAGATTTACAACATGGCCATTACCCCGGGGGAATGATTTCTCACTTTCTCTCCCCACCCCTCTACCGTGCACATGCACCATGTGGTCAAAAAAATTCAAATCTGGGATAAGGGAGCTACTTTTTTACGTGCTATGTAGGAGACAAGGTCCTTTGGGCAGGAGAACATAGTATACTGGCATAGGTTTAAGACAAGTGAAAAAGAAAACAGCCACTGCAGAGACCAGGATAATGTAGCTGCTAGGAAAGCAATGGGACTATAGGCAAAACTAAGGCTCCTACTGAAGTCTGTGACCAAGAATTAATACAGGCACCCATCTGCAGGGTGGTGTTTTTTTTTTCCTAACAATTTCTTTTCTTTTTCTTTTTTTAACAATTATTTAATGTTTATTTATTATTATTATTTTTTAATTTGACCAGAGAGAGATGGAAAGTAGGAAAGCAAGGCACCAGGGTCCAGGACTCAAACCACACTCGGCCATGTGGGGGTCCAGCAACCCTACCAACATGCTGGCCTCTACAGGGTGTTTTTCTGCAGGTGAAAGTCCGAGAATATTAAAATGATAAACAGCTAGGGGTCACCAAGTGGCATAATGATTGGGGCACTGGATTCCCACATAGCCAACCATAGTTTGAGTCTTAGACTTGGTGACTTGCTTCTCACTCTCTCTGTCTCTCTCTGGTGAGTACATGTGCCCAGAAGCAAATTAAAAAAAATAATAATGATAAACAAAATTAAAGAAAGAATTATTAAAAAAAAAATAGACAGCTAAATTCAACTAGGACTAGAGTTTTACGAAGCAGGTATCACAGGACAATAAGATTAAGGAACTCCTCAAGGCCTCCTGTAAGGGAGAAGATAATGTGATGGACTATGGAATCTAAGTTCATCAAGAAAGCAGTCAGGACAGGAAAGAGCAGATGGCAAAAATATAGAGGGATTTATGGACTAGAAAACCTAAAAAGTTAGAAATAAAAGTATACTAGCAATAACTGAATAAGGGAAGAAAAGAGGTTGTAGTTAGTGACTAAAATGTCTGAATTTTAATTTCAGAAGTAGAGTAATTCTTAATTTTTACAAAATACCATGCCTTTGGATACCTAAAGTGGAGAGAAAAGGTCACTGGAAATAAGCAAATTTGCCAGGTAGATAAGAAGGGAGAACAGAGCAGGCAGAAGAAATGAAATAGCATGGTACTCAGAGAACTCCAAGCAGTTTGACATTCTAAAACTAAGAATTGAGAGCGCCAGCAGGTGGCATGGTGGTTAAGGCACTGGACTCTCACATGGCCGACTGCGGTTCAGGTCTCATGCCTGGCGGGCTGAAAATCATGCTGGGCCTATGTGCATACATGCCCAAAGTCCCAGGAGGAGAATGGAAGAGAAAGGAATGCAGCATGGCATTTTCCCCTGGGGGGTGATTTCCCACTTTCCTTCTCACTGTCTCATTCTATCTCTCTCTGGAGAGCACATGCACCCTATACCAAAAACCCAAAACAAAAAAGGACTGAGATAAGAAAGAAGCAAGAGGGGGACCACCAGTTGGCGTAATGGCTATGTTGCTGGACTCCCATGTGGCTGACCACAGTTTAAGTCCCGGACCCGGTGGCTTAAACTCACGTGAGGCCCATGTGCGTGGGTGCCCAAGATCCCGAGAGGAGAATGGAGGACAAGGGACTGTGGTGTGGCCATTCCCCCTGGAGGGTAATTCCTCGCTTTCTGTATGTCTCTTGTCAATCTGGCAAGTGCACACACCCTATAGCAAAAACCTCTCAAAAAGAAAAAAAAAAAATAAGAAGAAGAAGAAAGAAGCAAGAGGGAAGAAGCAGATCTTGTACATCACGGTAAGTATTATGTCATAGTAAGTATTATGTTTTTCATCTGGAATGCAATTTGTGCAGAATGAGAGCTCTCTTCAAATATCTGAAGGGCTGTCAGATTAAAAAAGAATTAAGACAACTTCTAGGAAAGAGGAATGGGGAAAATATGAAAGTAAATTAAAGTAGAATGTTCTGAAGACTAATGACTATATAAATAGATTATCTTGAAAGAAACTAAACTCTATTACTAGACATGTTTAAACAAAACTCAATGCCAATTGGCCTACTACATAACAGAATCTATTAGGGGACATTTTAAGTACTTCAAACTCACAAGACAGATATCACTTACCAATTCTACACCTATTACTCCTGCACCAATAACAACCATTTTTTCTGGAACTTTTTTTAAAGATAAAGCACCTGTAGATGACACTATTGTATCTTCATCAATCTATAATAAGAAAAACAGAAGACAAAATTAAAATTATTTAGTAAAAAACTAGTGATTTAAAAACTGCAATCTCACTCAGTAAAATCACTAAACATACTAAGTTACTTGTGTTAAGGTATAAAATGCATATACCCAATTCATTAAATCCCATTAAACATACTAGCTTTAGGGACCAGCACATGGCATAATGGTTACATCACTAAACTCCCACGTAGTCGACCGTGGTTCAGTCGTGGACCTGGTGGCTTAAAACTCACACCAGGCTCGTGTGCATGTATGCCCAATATCCCAAGAGGAGAATGGAGGAGAAGGGACTATGGCATGGCCATTCCTCCGGGGGGATGATTTCTCACTTTCTATCTCTCTATCTCTCTGGCAGATGCACACAACCTATAGCAAAAAAAAAA